AAAAAAATCACCCGTTATAAGGTCTGACCAAATGTGCTTTCGCGGCAATAAAATTGGTCGTCGTGCTTGAAATGGTAAATATGATGCCTCGTCGATGCGGCCGCTTAATCGTAATAAGCCATCCTCGTCTAAATACGGTGACAGTTTATACAGCGAGCTTTGCTTTGCTAACTTCCGCGCCGCTGTCAGATCTGCTATTTCGCTCGGGAAACATTCTCGCTGTACGGTTCGATTTATGGTATATTCGGCCTTTTGTAACTCTGCTGCAGTGAGAATTGATGGTGGTTGTGACTTTGCATGTGGTTTCGCACGGAATAGAGTTGCTGCTCTTATGACCCAGGCTATGGTCCGTTTTAGCTTTGAAAATGAATTAAATTTCGAAAAGTCAATTAAGGTGTTGCTTGGCTGAACGAGAAGTAGGATGTCGGACTTGACTTCCTCTGGCAAAACGGATGCTGCGTTTACTGTTGTAGTAGGCCAATACTCCTCATCGAGCTTCAAAAATGCCGGACCTTTAACCCAGCAGCTATTGTTGTCAAACTTCGGCGTATTTGAAGAACGCGTGGCTACGTCTGCTGGATTGTGACAAGTCGGTACCCAGCGCCACTGTTCCTGGGCTGTCGTGCTGAGGATCTCTGCTATTCGGTGAGCAACGAATGCTCTATACTTCCGCTTTGACGAATTCAGCCATTGCAAAACCGTTTGGGAGTCGCTCCAAAAAATTACTCGCTCGGCTGTAAATTCAAGGCAGTCGCGTATCATTTTGGCTAGTCGTGCACCCAATACCGCTGCCTGTAGTTCTAGCCTTGGGACGGATAGTAGCTTCGCCGGTGCAGTGCGCGTCTTCCCTATTATGAAGCTGACGTCGATTTCGCTTCCGTGAACCACGCGAACATACCCAGCTGCTGCGAACGCTACTTGACTTGCGTCGACGAAGATGTGTACTTCCACTCGCCCACCATCGAAAATGTACGGAGAATAACAGCGCTGCATCTTGAACTGCTGAACATTATGGAACTCTTGCCACCAGCGTACCCATTTCTTGCTTAGTTCCTGCGGCAAAACGTCATCCCAAGCGATTCCGTGTTTCCACGTCTCCTGAATTAAAATTTTAGTAAAAAGTAAATAGTCCGCCAACATACCGAACGGGTCAAAAACTGCCATTACGATTCGCAGTAGCTCTCTCTTCGTTGGTGCGCGTGTTCCGTCAAGTACCTCTTTTGGAACGCGATGAAATTTCGTGTGAAATTCGAACGTGTCATTGTTGGTGTTCCAGAATAGCCCGAGCACCTTGTCTGTTGTTTCACCACGTTCCATGCTGACTGCTTCTCTAACTGCTGGCGATGTTTGGTTCATGCTTTCTTCCACCCCGATGCAATTGGAAATGAAGTTCCGCAACTCGAATCCCGCTTTCATATGAATATGGACAATCTCGCGGCTGATCTTTACGGCTTGTTGTGGTGTGTCAAAACTGGCCACTAAGTCGTCGACGTAGTGCTTAGTGATAATTGCGGAGGCGGCGGCAGGAAGCTCAGCTCGGAAATCTTCGGCGTTTTTATTTTTAACGTGCTCTGCTATACATGGTGAACACACAGCACCAAATATTAACGATGTCATCGCGTATTCCTCAATCGGTTGACTTGCATCTCCATCTCGCCATAGGTACCGTTGAGCGTGTTGATCAGATGGACGTATTCTGATCTGCGAAAACATTTCGCGTATGTCGGCTGACACTCCGACTCGCCCCTGGCGAAACTGTAATAATATCCGTATTAACGGCTGCGCTTGTTCTGGCCCCTTTAAAAGAGCTGAGTTCAGCGATACGTTGTCTACCATGGCTGCGGCATCAAAAACGATTCGCACTTTATCTGGCTTGTGGGGGTTAAGGACCGCGAAATGGGGCAAGTACCAAACGTGTTGATGTGTCGCGGCAAGTTCGACGCTACCCAACTTCCTGGCGTAACCCTTGTCTACGTATTTTGCCATCTCGTGCCTATATCGCTTACCAAACTCTACGTTGCATTTCATCTGTCTCTCAACAGACATCAGACGCCTTTCCGCCATCGCCCTGCTACTAGGTAGATTTGTTGGATACCCTTTCCACAGTAGACCGCATTCAAACTGGTCGCCGACTCGTCTGGTGGTCTGCTCCAGAATTAATCGCGCTCGTTCGTCTTCTTCTGATTCCAGTTTGAGGGATACCGGATTGGTACCGAAGCTGTCGGTTGCGAAATACTCCTCGACCAAGTTTTGAAGCTGTTGGTAGCCTTTGATGAGCATGACGCGAGGACTTACAGCCAACGGCGACTTAGTAGGGCCATACGCGACCCACCCTAATGGAGTTTTAATTGCCATTGGACTATCGATGCCAGCTTGCACTGCTGTAGACGTGGCACCCAAATAAGCGTGTTTCAGTCCAATCAACAAAACCGGTTTCGCAGCGTGGTAATTTATGAGCGGCAAGTGTTTCAAGTGCTCGAAGTCCTCCTTCTGCAAAGACTGCTCTGGCAAATTCAGTTCTTTCACAGTAAACACATCTTTCAATAAAAATTTGGTCATATCTAAGCGATTTTCGATTTCAATATTTAGTTTCAATGCTTGTTCGGTGACTACTTTGTCATCGTACCACTGAAGCGTTAGCGGACGTGCTTTACCCTTGGCACCGATTTGTTTGGCGACCTTTTCTTCCATTATCGATATTGATGAACCTTCATCAAACATCGCTAACACTTCTCGCTTTCCGTTGGGGCCATAAATGTTGACCGGTAACATCTTGAACAGTTGCCCGCACGTGCTTTGTGTTAGGCGACAGTTTAATATGGGCTGCGCTGTCTCATTTGTTTGTGTAGCTTTAAGTACCGGTTGAGTTTTTGCTTCTTCACCATGTAGTAACGGATTGTGGTACCGTTGGCACCCATTTACATTGCACCTTTTCCGAGATCGACATTTTAACGTACAATGTCCTTTTCGCAAGCACGAGAAGCAAAGTTGGAGCGTTTTCACCAGCTCCCATCGGTCTTGCACACCCATCTTCTTGAACTGTTCGCATTGGAAAACTGAATGATTGCCGCTGCAATTATAGCACTCTATTGCACGTTCTATGTGCATCAACCGCCGAGGGTTAGCTGTCGGCGCATTTACCCTTGTACTCGAGGTGCTTGCTGTAGGCATTAAGCAAGCTATTCGAGCCAACTCGCTAAGCCACTTTGAAAAATCTTCTACCGTCGGGTACGGCTGTATGGTCGCCGCCTGCCTTGCCCAATCAAATTGTCGCGCCTGAGGTAATTTACCCACCATTTGCTCCAATAAAGTAACATTTGCTAAGTGCTGCTGACACTTTGCCGACTTCAAGAATGCTACCACATTACGCACTCTTGAGGAGAATAAAACAATTTGGTCGGGCTTGGTCTCGGAGATTAGTGGAAACTGTTGTAATTTGCTAATTTGACATTTTACAAGCATGTCTGGCCTTCCAAATCTAAATTCGAGTTCGCTTAACACGGTTGGCACATCATTCGGGTAGATTAGCATTGATGCTACCGCCTCCTTTGCCGGACCCATGAGACACTTCTGTAGGCGCATCAAATTCTGCCTATTGCTATACTTAAAAATCGCTGTTGTATCGTCGAAGTTCGCACGAAACAGTGGCCACTCTTCCACATTGCCATTAAATGTCGGTAAGTCATATAACTTCACTCTCACATCCGTAGCTGGCACGACCTGGCTGGCCTCCTCCTGTGGTGACATGACTTGTCTTGGCTCACTCTGTGCTGGCTGCACTTGTTCCACGACGCTTTGAGGTTGAATTTCTTCCCGTAAACGAATTATATCCCTCTGACTTTCCACTGTGCTGTTCCTTAACTCCTCCACTGAAGCCCTGAGTGCGTTTAACGTTGCAATTATGGCGTTCATGCTATCTGCACTTGCTCCCTCTAGTTGTCTTGACTCGTCCATGGAACTTTCAGCCGATGACTCTTCTTCGCTGCCGGTATGCGCCTTTTCTGGTACGCGCCTTCGCAAATCGTATTTGTGTGCTTTTTTCATGCACTCACCTTGGTGTGACCTTACTTACCCACGTGTGTGCAAGCAAGAAGAACGTGCGAAAATTGTGAAAACTGTTACGAAACTGCTTCGCTCGGAATTTGCAAATAAAATATAACTGA